TTTTTTTTTGATAATGTCACTGTAGCTATGTTAACAATTATTACTGTACAGCATTTTTGTTCATTTTTTTCTGTTTCATAAGTTCTATCTTTAATTTTTTTTTGCTTAAAATGTTTTGTTCATGGTAATTCTGATGGCTATTGCTTACTGCAAATCAAAACCAGAAATCCATTTTCTTTTTTCAAAATACTAAGGTTGCATGAGTTTATAACAATAGTACCCCCCCCCCCCCCCCCCCCAAAAAAAAAAAAAAATGTTTTTGGCCTAGACCAGAGGTCTTCAACAGGGGGTCCGTGACCCCTAGGGGGTCCGCGGAGGTACTGCATGGGGGTCGCGAAAGTCTTGGTTGATTACTTTTTTTTTATATTCACTCCTCCAATTTTTTGCACTAATTAAAATGTATTTAAATACACATTAACATGAATTCAACACGCTGTAGTAAACAGATAAATGAAAGCAGAAGATGTGTTTCAGTCATCAATGCACACATTAGCGACACACAGGAGCTCTTTCAAACCTGGGCACCGTTTGATTCACAACACCTGTCCCATCAACCAGGAATCAGATCCAGAAATACTTTAATAATCCCAGGGAGAAATGACTTTCGTTACATGACTCCTTATGTAATAGAGTGACTATAGGACCAGTTTGATATAACACAATTTCATACAATATATATAATTAGGGGGTCCCGCTCCACCTCACAATCAGTTTGGGGGTCCTTGGCCTCGAAAACGTTGAAGACCCCTGGCCTACCCAGGTCCTATTCCTTGTGTTTTTTCACTCCGGGGAAAGGCATATTAAATGGCAAGGGCGTAGCTTTGATTTCAACTTTGGTAGGGACACTAATGGTCTTCATTTTCATTGGTCTGATGTCATTGGTCCTATGCAAAAAAATGCATGCTCTGCATGCAAAAATCCATGTTTCACCTTGTTTAATTTAGTAAAAAAATCTTCTTTAAGGAACCTTTGTCTATCTGATTATTAATCGATTAATCAAAATAAATAAATAAATCTACGGATTAATCAATTTGCAAAATAATCATTAGTTGCAGCCCTAATTTTATGGTAACATTCCAAACACATTTCTTTCATAATACAGCACTGAAGGGCAGCTGCTTCACCCTGAGGCTGCCCTGCAGCATTATATCTGTGTTTCCTCATATAATGTTTCTATTATACAAGTGGGTTTTTAATTGTAAAGGATTAAATGTAACAAAACCTTTCATCATCATCCTATGTTGCTTACTGTCTAGCTGTTTAAATTGCTCCTTATGTCTATTTTCTTTTTTAGTTGCATCATCTACAAATACAACACTAAGAATGAGCCTAAGTTTATTCAAATATAAAATCACTTTTAACAATTATAAAAGACAATATAGCACTATCTTATCTGTAATGTAATAATATCCAAAATAAACAGACAGATTCAAGCATTATTTAGCAGACATTTATGTTGGCACTAATTTACTTATGGGCCGTGTGGAAATCTAGAAAAATAGAATCAATCTAAGTAGAGTTCCTCTGTTTGTCTTTATCCTGTTTCTAGAAGTAGAACTTAATTAAATAGCACTATTTAAATGTGGAAAACAAAAAATAGCAGATCTTTAGATGTTGATAGTTTACAGTCTTTGTTCATTTTATTAGCAGTTTTCTGAACCCCTGTCTGACTCAGAATATTTAGTTTTATAAAGAAATCCTAACGTTGGTTACTTTCATTTCTCAAGTTCATCAAATCCAAACCCTCTCCTGCTTCTTTGCAGAACGGCAATCAGAAGCTTTCACCTGTTCTAGCGTAGATGACAATTAGTTTTTTAATTGGGACTAGTTTCGTAGCCTAATATTAATTTTGGTAACCGGCGTATTCTAGCGTCATTTTTTTGTTATTATTTTGCGCTCCAAGCACGCGCACACACATAGAGACGAGAAAACAAGCAATCAGAAAGAGAGAAGGAGGAACTTAAGGTGAAAAAATCAGAGAGTGGAGTTAAACATTGCAGTACAGTTGATGCGATGCTACGTAGTATGTACAGGGAAAACCAGGCAGCTGCAGCTACCAGGCAGAGGAGCTGCAAGAGGAAAATGTTTGCATGTTGTTCACATGCAATTGTTGGTAGGGACAATTAGGTTGGTCCACAATTTTGGTAGGGACATGTCCCTATGGTCCCTATGCAAACCTACGCCCATGTTAAATGGAAAAAGAAAAAAAAAAATACTTGGAATTGGAGACAGTCATCCTGAATGCAGAAGTGTGTTTGTATTCCATAGGCAGTTCTAGACGGGGGCCAAAAGGGACCCCTGCCCTTGTAGAACTGCCCCTGTAGTGAAGATACAAAATATTAAATACAATTCTTATTATATTCCCTAACACAGAAACTGTAACTGATTGGTCCCTCTGATCTAATAATGTTTTTTTTCTTTTTGCCTTAATATTTGTATTTCAACTGTGATTTAAAAATGAAGGTGTTGCTCTTTTAGTTTATGATGTCTTGACTTAGCTGAGTTTACAGTTTTAAGGGTGCAACCATTTTAGTTTTCTGACCGGCAACTGATTTTTAGATTGTCTGACATGCAGATTCCAATTTTCATAACACTTGTTATAATTCCTCAAGACATCCAGAATGTGTCTCATTTTATAAAAAACCCTGTTAAACAAAAAAATCAAAAATAGTTTAAAGGGATAATATGTAGGAATTACTAGCAGTGAAATGGGATATTTTACTCATATGAACACCACTCCAGTGAGTCACTTCCTCAAACACGTATTGCGACAACGGTAGCTACTGTGTGTCAAAAAAGACTCGCCTGCATGGATGTGATCATGTCACCCTAAGTGAAGGGAAGTTTCTACTTGCTGGCATTTACTGTGACAAATAGACAGCATTCTCCATTATTTCAAAAGCTACGGGGGACATGACCCCTGCATTTTTTCAAAAGTCTGTTTTGGTCCCCATTTTACTATCCAAAAACAATGTTAGGATACAGTTCACAGACATTCGTCGAGCACAAGGACCAAGCGGAAAACCGCAGCTCAAGCTGAAGCCCACTTCCCTGAGTTTAGACCGCCCACAAGCTGCTGATTGGCCCCTCCCTCTTTCCTGGTGTTTGAGCTGTCACCACTGTCACACCTGAGAAGCTCAGTTTAAAAAAAATTCGAATGGCCACTGAATCGGGTTTGTGACTGTTTTGTTCACAGTGCTGCTGAAGTCCTACACACTACTGTATTAGAACTGTAGGGTTTGTTAAAGATAGGCTCTGTGTATGCACCCTTTTCAGTTCTTTTCAGTTCTTTTCCCTGTAAAGAGATCACTCAGGACAAACTCTTTAAATAACACTTCATAACTTACATGCATTAAATAACCAGGAGACATGACAACAGATTCTGATAGAAATAGTAATCTTACTCAGAATTGAGAAGTTGCTTAGAGTTTACAGAAGGCAGCAGCTTACCTCCGGGCTCACCTCTCAGGAAGTGGCCCTGATTAGCAGTATTAGAAATAATGAAACCCATTGAAATTGTGTTTACAGAAGAGGATTGGGGCCACTGAAGAAGGAAAAAAAGTTAACTGATTTTTAACTATTATTTCAGTTTAATATGGGAAAAAAAGTCATAATTCTGACTTTAATCTTAATTTCAGAATTGTGGATCTTAATGTAGATGGGCACCATGAAGGAAGAGATGTGGGAGCACTCAGCTTCCCTGACAAAGATGTGAGTTGTTTGGGAGGGCCAGTTCCATTGGTGGAAAACAGAGGTGTACAAATACTTAGTTACTGTACTTATGTAAACTTTTAAGATATCTATACTTTACTCCATTACTTATTTTTCTTCCTACTTCTGACTTCTACTTACATTTTCACACATATATCTGTACTTTCTATTCTAAAACAAATGTTACTCTTGGCTTCGGTTTGATGTTTAACAATATTTATTTCACATCATGTGCGCCATCCAATGCAGATCATTGGCTCCATCCACATCTAGTGAAAACTAGTGTTATTGGATGAGTCATAGGACGCAAACACTTGGTTAGCTATTTCTCAAATTTGTGCTGACGCCAAAGGAAATCATCAGAAGCAAGCAGGTGTTCTTCAAACTGCAAACGTGAATTGTCTACGCCATACTACAATATCAGATTCAGAAAAAGATGTTGAAATGTCTGAAAGGTCGGACACAGGAGAGAGCGTATCGGGAGATGGAGACCAACAAGCCCTCCCTCATCCTTGGCTCTATCTCAAAGAATTTTTCGAAATAGTCGAAAAATTGAGCTTTCAATTCAGAGAGTGGCATCTGGCTGATTTTTTAAAGGTTACTTTATACTTTTATACTTTAAGTAGTTTTTGGAGCAAATACTTTTTCACTTTTACTTGAGTAAAGAGGTCAAGTTGATACTTCAACTTTTTAGTGTTTTTAAACTGCAGTATCTTTACTTCTTAAGTTACTACTTAAGTAACAAATGTCTGTACGTTTGATACCACTGGTGGAAATGACAGAATTAGGCGACTTTTTACGTCCCCTAGGGATCCCCGGTGATGCTATTTCTTTAATGGAAGAGCAGAAGGTGATTAAAACAAGAGAGCTAGTTTAGTCTCTAAAAAGTCAGAATTCTGAGATTAAAGTCAGAATTCTTAGAAAAAAAGTCAGTAATCTTAAAAAAAAAAAAAAAAAAGAATTCTGAGACTAAAGTCAAAATTCTGACTTTTTTCCTCATTTGATACTAAAATCAAATTTAAAAATCTTTTAACTTTTTTTTTCTTTCAGTGGCCCTAATTCTCTTTCGTACGTACTCAAAGTATTTATGCTATAAGTTTTTTTGTGGTTAAAAAAAAGTAATTGGACATCAAATCTAACATCCCAGCAATAAATATACAGGGTTGTCTCATGTTTCTCTCCTCATATTGATGTTAAAGTAGCCAGGGCCACGTGACAAGGAGGGGGCGGGACTTTCCCCCAGCTGACCAATAGCAACGTAGAATGGGACCAGGCTCCAAGAGTAGCAGCTCTCTGGAGAGTGGAGAGGAGGTGGATTGGGAGGGGGGGTTAAAATAACGCGAGAGAAAGAAGACCGAATAACGGTTTACTCCAACATACATGGAAACCTCGAACCCACCAATTTAAATCACATCCACACCGCGTCCTGTTATGTTTACATGTGGCCAGACGGACTTGGTGAGCGCGTTTTACAGGCTGCAGAAAACCAGCGAACCCCCATTGTGTGCTTAGAAAGAAGAAGAATGGCCTGGATGTGGAAGGTAAGAGCTGCTTTCTCCTTCTCATTCCTGCCTAAATAAATAAAATCAATTGACGGATGGAGCCTGAGACGAGGGCATGTCTTCGTCTGTTGATGGAGGGAGAAATTTTATCCAGAGAGAAGCAACGATGCTCCTATACGTAACTGATCCTCTTCTGGTTTATATTAGATGTAGGTGTTTTTTCTGACTTGTTTTTTATTTTTATTTTTGGGGGGTTGTTCAGACCCCCCTGGTTCTGGTGTTTATGTTGGGCTTTTATTTAATTTCCCTGTGGTGTAGCGTTAGGATGGGCTGGTAAAGGCCATGCAGAGTGAGAGCAGCATCCATCTGGTCCATGTGTTTACATGCTGTGTCTGCAGACCTGAGGGGAGGTAAACAAACATGACTTACCTTAGCTTTGGAAGAAAACTTCAGACATTTTCCAAGATAAAACACAGGTTAACAAACAACTTAAACCATATCCATTTTTGTTTCTAAACAATAGAATTTAAAAGTACTAATCAATATTTCATGCAAAAATGAACCAAACTCATTATTTATATAAGCACTTTAAATTTATAATATTATAATTCACAACTCATGTCATCTCAAGGCATTTTACAGTTCACCAGATCATACAGTCAAATTGATTCAAAGTTTTCTATGTAAGGAAAACCAGTTGATTGCATCGACTCACTGACTCAGATGCAATCCTCACACTAAGCATGCTTGTAGCGACAGTGGAGAGGAAAAACTCCCTTTTAATAGGAAGAAACCTCCAGCAGAACCAGGCTCAGTGTGAGCGGCCATCTGCTGAGGCCAACTGGGGTTCAAGGAGACAGAAGCAGAGATACAAAAAGCAACTGTAAAAGGCGGTCCCGACCAGGAAACACACAGCCAGGCAGACGAGCTCCGAGCCAGCTCCCATGTCAGAGGATGAAGAGAGCACATCCAGCCAGTCACAGTCAGAGAAACAGGATGACATTGGAAAACAGGCTGATCTCCAACATCTATAAACAAAGGTGTTGATGGCAGCAGCATGGCTGATATTTCTCTCCAGGATGGTGTCACAGCCAAAATTATTCCATCAAATGTTATAACATACTGAAAAAATACAGGGACACCCTGTTCCAAAGCTTTACAAGAAACACTGATCCAAATTTTGTACATATGTTCATAATCAAATCGGTCCACTTATATAGACAGTTTCAGGCAGTATATTTCCTACAGTATATTACATTTGGATTTTAGTTATCATCAGTGCATTTTGTTCTAAAAAAGTTGCACATATTTCCTGAAAATTATGTCACTACAGTGATGTAATCAATACATATGCAGATGCACAAAAATAGCAGCTACTTTGAGTTTTTGGAAAACTGAAAATCCTGAAGTCCTGTTGTGAAATTTCCTAAAGCATTCAAATGAAAAGTTTCCAGAACTTTAGATTTTTTTTTTTTTTTTTGTCCAGGTGTAAATAAGCAAACCTGGTATTTCTCGCATTTGGTCAGAACTATTCCACAAATTCTTTAAAGGAAAATTCCGGTTTTTAACACTTTTAGCCCATTTTCTGTAGTGTCCAGGATGAAATCGAATGATCGACACCAAAATTTTGACAATTGGTCCTGTCTCTGCTATTTGGCTCATGCAGAATCCCCCCCTGGCTGCTTCAGAATGGCTTCCATAGTGCATGTCCGATAATGTCCTTAAAACAACCTTAAACGTTCTTTTGTTAAAATATGCTACTCACATTTTAACACATTTTACAAGAGCTATAGTATTAGTATTAGTACAGTATTAGTATTAGTCTACTGTTTATAACATAACACCATTGGGGGAATATTTGCTATTGTTATGCTGTTATGGCGTTTAGGAGGAGCGCATGATCCATATACTGGCTGTTGCAGGTTTGACTCTCAGCCTTGCTCACTTTTGCTAAATTTCCTCTGTTCTAACCCGCTTTCCTATCTGTATTCTTTCAAGATGAACAAAATAAAGGCCTTTAGAGCGGAGGTCTTCAACAGAGGGTCCGCGACCCCTAGGGAGTCTACGTAGGTACTGCATGGGGGTCGCGAAAGTTTTGGTTGATTAGACTTTTTTTTAATATTACGCCTGCAATTTTTTCTACTAATTGAAATGTCTTTAAATACACAATAACATCACAGCTCACTGTAGTAAACAGATAAATGGTGGCAAAAGATGTCTTTCAGTCATCAATGCACACATTCAGCGACACACAGGAGCTCTTTCAAGCTGGGCACCGTTTCATTCACAACACCTGTCCCATCAACCAGGAATTAAAATCAGAAATACTTTAATAAACCCAGTGCGAAATTACTTTCGTTACATTACTCCATATGTAATAAAGTGACTATGGGACCAGTTTGATATAACACAATGTCATACAATATATATAATTAGGGTATCCCCGCTCCATCTCACCATCAGTTTGGGGGTCCTTGGCCTGGAAAACGTTGAAGACCCTTGGTCTAAAGCCTAAAAAATTATTTTTAAAATGTAAAACTCCCACAAAATTATCCAAGGATTTAAAAAACATAACCCAAACATCAAGGAATTTATGTAAAAAAACAAACAATAATTTTAGTAATTAATTACAAGTAATTGGATAAAAAAATGTCAGATTCTGCAGATTCTTCTCTTATTTAACTAATCTTATTTTATCGTTAATAGGAATTCAACCTAGATAGACTCACCGGAGAAAAGTTGCATAATTGATTGAGTAATTTTGATGGAGTAATTAATTGTCCCTAAAAATGTACTTTTTAAAATAACTTGTGTGCTTCCCTTAGAAGCACATAATGAAAGTCAGCTGCAGCTCACCTTACAAAACTAAATCATTATCACTGTGATTGTTGTAGCAAGACTTTGATTTCAAAGAGGCATTATGGAGTTTTCTAATGATACTGCCACCTATGAGTATCCGCAACATCCATCCTGAATATACAGCTTTGATTGCTTGCTTGGTCATTCAACATGGACACGCTTGGAGTCACATCTGCAGAACAGCGTGAGAAGTTCTGACCTGAAGTAAATTCAGGAAAATAGGCCAAAGGCTTACAGATGCATCAGTGATGAACTGCTGAGACGTCAGTCTGCTTATTAAACCAAGCTTTAGTCATAAACAGTCAAATTAAAGGCCATTTTAAAGATATTTTTTAGTGGAAAGTTACATAATGTCCATTTAAAGCAGAGAGATAAAAGTAATTCTTGGATGTTTTCATCACATGGCCATAAAATATAATTAAAATTGTCGATAATTTAAATAAAAATTTTTATTGATTTATTTAGGATAAAGATATTTTAATTTGAAGGATGCTTTGGAAATCTATTTGTAAGTTTTATTTTTCTTTACAAATGGAAGTATTTCCTTTTTAATTAATTGAATTTTTGGCACACTAGGTTCTCCATACTGGCTTCAGTGCAGTTTGCTGTGGGCATTTTGTTTTGATACTTTACCAAAGCAGCTTAATGAACTCAAAGAAGTTGCCCAGTGGGGAGAGAGGGGAATGACAGCGGCTTCGGATGTGCTAGCAACACTGTTTGTTTCTGGTTAATATTGAGCACTAACAATAGCCAACACATTATAGTCTTTATACTTACAGCTGCAAACAGCCTGGTTATCACCTAGACTTCACATGAGCATACAAACCTCTGCCGCAGCTGTCTGTAGTGGACCTGTTAACTAGACTTTGCATTACAAGCAAACAGCTGCTTCCCCCTTTCCTGTTTTTCTTCTTTTGAATCCCTGATTTTTTTTTTGGATTATAAGATGTCTAAACCTCAGGTCATTCAATCTGGGCTGTCTACTTGTTGCCGGTTGCTTTTGGTCCAACTGAACATTTTGCACCACAAAGCGAGGGGTCCCAGAATGTCAACTATGTTGCATGCACTGTGCAATACAAAATAAGTTAAAATAAAATTGGATTTTAATAGGCCTTTCTCCGTACTCGGGCGCTGGGTAGTCAAGTCCTCGATGAAATTTAGTATTCAAGGTCCTCATATCATCTGATAGATTGTACCGTCTTTCTTTTCATTCATTAATCCGATCAATCGATTGTTTATTTATTTACTGACAAACTAAATAAAAGATTAAAGTGGCAGTCTGTAAGTCCCTATTCAGTCCAATACCAAAGCAGTCTCCAATTAGAAGTGAAAAAAAATTACTGTCAATCAAAAAAAATGGAAAAACGTAGAAGAAAATTACAAAACCAAGCTCTAAAGCACTAAAACTCTTCCTCCTGTTTGTTGATTTTTTACCCACATCACTCCAATTTTAACGTTCTTACACTGTCTTCCCATTTCTCAAAGATGAAACTTTAAAATTCTCCTGTTCGTCTCTAAATCTCAGAATGGCTTTGCACAAACATACATTACATACCTACGGTACTGAGAGTGTATCAACCTCCCAGACCTCTTGGGTCTACCGGCTCAATTTTACTTTGCATTAAACAGAACGGGAACCAAACATCAAGAAAAAGCTTTTAGTTCTTGTACTTCATTAATCTGAAACAAACTCCCAGAAAGTATAAAGATTTTAAATCCCTAAATTGCTTGAAATAAATATAAAAAAAAAATAAATAAACAGACCTAAATCAGAGACAACCAGACTTTTGCTGAGTTTTTGTGAGTAAATTAAAGTCAAGAAAATTTTCAAATCAGGAAAATTAAGGTTTCTGAAGCTGAAATATTGCATTTTCAGTCTTTGTGGAGCGTGTTCTTACCTCCTTCATAATGTTTTGTTTTGCCGAACAGGTCCTTGGCCAGGAGCTTCCTGTTATAGCTGACAGGTATAATAGCGCTCTCTTAAAAATGTTAAAGAGGGTAAAAGACTGCTTGTTGCTTTCTGCCCCCTACCCAATCATCAGGTTCAGATCTACTTAATTCCTTAACATATCCTTGGGCCCTCACACTCATTATCTGCTCTGCTGAACATGTTTGGTCTCTTTTTCAAGACCTTCACTATTTTCATATTTTTATATGTTATGTTTTGATTATGTTTTTAT